CAAAACTAAATTTAAATGAATCTATTCGCTTTTGACGTACTCCAGTGTTGAAATTGATTGCAATGGCGAAAATTTGAATTTTCTACAAGAAGCTACTAGGAACAAGTGCCACGCTAGTAGTAACAAGTGCCTTACTAGTAGTAACAAGGACGCTACTAGGAACAAGACAACGATCAGCCTAGAGTCTCAGGAACGGAGAAACAAAAACAGTTATCAAGCGACTGGTGAGTGCTTGCTTGACCAAAAAGAAACACGCAAAAGGCCAGGTCTGGTAGATGTTGTTTTACTATCATTCAAACCTTAAAACATGAAACGGCTTGTTATGAGCCTGTGATTTTTTTGCTCACAAGGTATCTCATGTGGGGAGTTGTTGCTCTCCTTTTTATTCTGAGCTTTGGGCTTGCCACTTTCAACAGGCCTTTGCATCAGAAATTGAACAAGTGAAAAACCTGACACAACTCAAAATGAAGTCTAGACTACTCCACTCCACAGACTTTGGTTAGTCATGCAGACTCAAAAGCACTTAAGAAAAGTAAATAGGCTCACACACACACAATGCTCAACAACTTGACCAAGCAATTCTTTTACACATCCATACTACTTTGATCCTTTGGACTAGTTTGGACATGATTGAGTTTTGGGAGTTATAAGTCTTAAGGATTATATATTATTGATTTGTCAGCATCACTCATGAACCGAGATTGCATTCCAAAAGCGTTGTTATTCACCAAGTGTTTTCTCCATTTGCATTTCAGGAATTGGTTTTTGATTGGTCTCCAACTGCTAGACGTTTATTCACTACAATGGTATATTTTTTGGTGTTGTTGTTCTCAAATGTTTCCACCGTGTATTGGCAGGTAGGTATCGGGGTAGGTACTTTATATCGTGTAAGGCTACAGTGTTCTAAACCGCGTCTAGGTCCTCGATCCATATAGACAAGAGCACAGTTTCCCTAGCCTTGTGCAAAAGCTTCATGATAGAACACTTTGTCTTGCAGCAGCAAGGTCCTCCCACATTCATGTTCTGTTACTCAAGTCTTCTCCTTTCACAAGTCTAAATCTTTATGACACTTCAAACGGCATTTGCTTTGATCAGCAACAAATCTTTTTCATTCCCAAGTCTTGTTCAAAAGGTCTCTGCCTTTCGAAGGTCTTCTTGATTCTTTCACAAGAGTTTGTCTGAAAATAGGCTTATCCTTCATGAGAAGGTTCCTCCTTTGCAAGGGTCGCAATTTTGAAGGGTCTTTCTTTGAGAAATCCACATTCTATAAAGAAATCAGCCTTGGTAATCAAGAAGCATCCTGCAAAAGGGTCTGCCTGTATAGCGGAATAAGTGAAATAGGGTTCCGCTCCTCTTGGGCCTGAACCTGTGTAAACTAAGAGCATGCACCTTGGTAAGGCATTCTTGTGATTCCATCCTTCCATGCAGATCTTATGCTTGATAACACGTTCCTCCTTGTTCACAAAGTTATGACTAGCTCTGGAGCCCTCTTTCAACATGTGTCATCATTGAATTGAAACATATCACATATCAATCTCTTTAAACAATTTCTCTATCTTATCAAGAAGCATCCTCTATCATCCGAGTCTGTGCCGTTACAAGTCTACACACTTAGACAAGTGTAAGATTCCTGCATCAAACTGAAGATCTGACTACACGAATGACGACATATCCCCCGAAGAGTAAGAACGGTTTATCTGAAGATCACAGGCTCACAATAGTGCTCACAATATATACCTTACTAGTAGTAACAAGTGCCTTACTAGTAGTAACAAGAAGCTACTAGTAACAAAGTGCATCGCTACTAGGAGCAAGGACGCTACTAGTAGCAAGTGCATCGCTACTA